CAGGATGTCTCTGTTGTGTCCCTTTGGGCTGTCCCCTCTATCTGTCCCTCTCTGCCTTCCATCCCTTTCTCCCTTTGCTCTGTCTCTCTGTGTCTGGTACCTGTCTGATCTGTTCTGATCATCTCTCCCTGCCTCTGAGCTCTTTCTCTCTCCTTTTTTGTCTCATCTGTCTGTCTGTCTGTCTGCAGAGATAGCTGTCTCTGGCTCTGAGTGTTTCTGTGTGTCTGTCTGTCTCTCCTGTTTCCCAGGTTCTATGTCTGCTTCCCTCCCTCTTCAGCTCTGGTTCCATCTGTCTCCAGCATCCTGTCTCTGTCTCTACTTGTCTGTCTCTAGCCTGTTATTTTTTCCTTGTGCTGGTCCTGGGACTTGAACTCAGGGCCTTGGTGCTGCCTCTGAGCTTTTCCCCCTCAAGGCTGGCACTCTACCACTTGAGCCACACCTCCACTTCTGGCATTTTGGTGGTTTATTGGCGATAGGAGTCTCCTGGACCTTCCTGCCCAGGCTGGCTTTGAACTTCAATCCTCAGATCTCAGCCTCCTGTTGCTGGGGTTACAGGCGTGAGTCACTGGCATCCTGCTCTCTCCGGATTTCGGTGCTGTCTCTGTCTCCAGTGCCCTGTCTCCGCTGGTCCCATCTCCCTGTCTCTCCTCTGCTCCCTCTCCAGTGCGCTGTCTCCCCATGTCTGGTCTCTGTGTCTGTCATCTCGCACCCTGTTCTGACACCTCCAGACACATCTTCATCTCTTTTTTTCCAACTCCCAAGACAATCCAGAATTTTCCTCCATTGAGGTTACTGTGTGGGCCCAGGATGGGGGGGGGAGGGGTAGGGATTGGGGCAGATGTATTGTGTAGCCCTGTGTCACTTAAGTGTCCCAGTGACCCCAGGTCTCCCTTTTGCAGTCACCCCGCTGCTCCTGAGGTCCCACCCTCCAATTTCAGGAATTCCTGGCTGGGGGGGGGGGTGGACTTCCTCCCCCCACTTCCTCTCTTCCAGGATTTGGCTGAGACACTGTTAACTCCTTCCTGCCTTTGCCTAGCTCTCCCTCCCCTTGGACATGACACTCCCAAAAAAGAAATGAGAAGAAGGAGCAGCTCTAGAATTTCTCTTGACATACTGGCCTTTGGGGCTCACTGAGATGATATGTTGGGGGATTTCGTAAGAGGTCATCCCCAGCACCCCCCAACACACACCTTCTCCAGCCCCTCTGTCAGTCCCCACTCCTCCCAAACCCACCCAGATGCTGCACCTCACCTGCCGGGTCTGGGCTGGTGAACTTGACTTCAGGTTTGGGGTGAAGCGATTGGAAGGAAAATATGCAAGGGACGATTGGGTGGGCAGGGTTGGGGGGAGCTCTGGGAATTCAGGAAATCCTATAACCCAGGGCCCTTGAACTTGAGCCTCTTTGAATCAAAGCACGAGGGATGCCGGAAAGGGAGACTGGGAATTTGGAGATTTCTCCGATCCTGGCTCTCAGGATATTTCAATCCTTTGATCTAAGCAGATTAGCATAAAAATCTTGGCAGTCTGGAAGGTTCCTAGCTGGAGGCCCTGAAGGATCTGGGGGGGGGGGGGCACCATCTAGGTCAAGCCCCTCTCCCTATTGTTACAGCTGGGGAAACTGAGGCCCAAGAGTAGAAATCCCCACAGTTGAGTCAGGGCCAGGCTTGGGGGTTTAGGGGTCCTCTTACCCAATGGAAGCCCCAATCTGGGAAACTTGGATTATTTCCCTGACTGTTAAACTGGATAAATCTGGGAAGAGGAGGACAATGGGGTAGCTAAAAATGGCTACAGGCCAGAAAGGGAGAGTTTTGGGGGTGCAGAAGAAAGATATATTTCTAAGACCAAGCTGGTAGGGAGTGAGGGAGAGAGACTGGGTGGAGATCTAGAAAAAGAGGACACAGAAGAGGGGGTGGGGGGCTGGCACACCCCCTCAGCTCCATGAAGCCCACTGCTCCCTCCAGACAGGACCTATAATTTGGTTTGTGTCTAGACAAATAATAAGTCAGCTGGTGTGAACTGAATCAGGCGGAAGCTCTGCCAGGAGATGAAGCAGCCCCAGTCAGTGTACCCCCAGGTGTGAGAATCTGGGGTCCAGGTAGATCATCTGTGATCACCTGCCACCCCACCCCCACTCTGCCCTCTTGCTTCCCAGTGTCAGTTGCTTAGCTTGCTGGGTAATCTTCAAATTCAGCTTGCTAGAAGGCTAAAAAAGAAAAAAAAAAAAGCCAATCATGGAGGTGGGGTGTGGTGTGGAAGTGGGGCTCACCTCTAGATGCGTTCTCATTTCTGCAGGGGAAAACAAAAAAGGAAATACGTATTGGTGTTTGCTGGGCAAAGATAAAAATCACTGAGGGTTTAATAATAGAGTATGAAAGTCATAGAATGCCTTTTTAAAAAAAAATCAGAGTGTTCTAACAATAGAACTTTAGAATCTTGGGATGGGAGAGTTCTGGAATATTCTGCAAAGGCAGAAGAAGAAGAAGAAGAAGAGTTAAAAAGCCTCATACTGCGCTGGCGGGAAGCTGAGGATTTGAGATCATGGGATGGAGAATTATGATCTCAGGATCATAACTCCCTGCTGGGTGGTGGGTGGGGGCTGAGTGTTGGGGAGGGAGAGGGAGAAAAGAACTTCTTTGGTAGAAATGGGGAAACTGAGGCCCCCGCCTGGCGTCAGGGTGGCCTGACTGTCCCCCTGGTTTCCGGCTGGCAGCTACAACACCAGGTGGGGAGCGAGGCTGGCTGATCACATTTCATCCCTAATGAAGGGACTGGAGCTGGCCAGTCCCCTGGGACTGCCGATGGGGGGGGGGGAGGAAAGGGAAGAAGCAGGAGCCCACAGAAGGAAAGGGGGACCGGCTGGGGGCTGGTGAGTGAAATGAGGGGTGAGTGGGATACAGAGGGTGGGCTTATATCTTTTGTAGTCTTCTTAACCCTCCACATCTGAAGTTCTGCTGGCTTTGGATTTCAGGGGTGTCCGTGCTCTGAACAGCCAAGGCCTTCAGGGGAAGGTAGGGGTGGGGATGGGGGAGAAAACCAGTCTTTGCTGTCTGCCCCCCCACCAAAAAAAAAAATCACCACACATGGGTTTTCCTCCTCTGTTCCTGTGGAAATGGGATGCATGTATAGGGAGCTTCTTGTGGGCTGTAAGATTTGGGGTTCATCTTCCTAAAACAGGCTGGAGAGGTAATAGATGCTTTGGGGGGGGAGGGGCAGTTGTGGGGCTTGAACTCAGGGCCTAGGCAGTGAGCTCTTTTGATCAAGGTTAGAGCTCTTCCACTGGAGCCACAGTGCTACTTCTGTTTTTTGAGTAGTTAATTGGAGACAAGAGTCTTGCAAGGACTTTTCTCCCCAGGCCGGCTTCCAAGTGCGATCCTCAGATCTCAGCCTCCTAAATAGCCACAGGTGTGAGTCAGGCGCCTGGTGATGCTTTTTTTTTTTTTTTTTTTTAACGTATGTAGGAGAAGGTCCAAATACTCCAGCATATTCTCAAAGGGGTCTGAGATACACCCCACCCCTGCAGAAAAATGTGAAAAAATGGCTAGAGGGTAGTGGCAGGGGAGATCTCCATTGGCCAGCAAGGAGATCACAGCTCACTGCTCCCGGCCTCAGTTTCCCCATCTGTCCCAGAAAAAGGTCAGGAACAACCCCACACCCAGTTGTCACATAGGGGCTGGTGGCGTCGTGCAAGTCTCAGGTTCCTTGTTGATTCCAGGGACACTGAATGGTGGGCAGATGTCAGGTGGAGAAGAGCGGGTTGTCTGTCTGTCTGTCTGTCAGAGAGCACCTGCCAGGACCCTGCCCCACACACCAGCATCTCCAGATAAGACACAGGTGGTCTGGGGGCCAGGCCTGGTCCATGGAGGAAATTGGCCCCAGGGGAGTCTCCTTCCTCTGGCTGCTAGAGACTGATCTGTGCACACACTCTAGGTTGGAAGGATCGTGGGGTGTGGTGGAGGGGTGGGGTGGGGGTGTCCCTGAGGTTCCATGGATGACAGGCAGGTCTCAGCCAGGAACAAGCCCCACCCACCCCATCTCCACAGGGCCCAGAGGCCTCGGGAAATCTGGGGTACCTGGGGTACCAGCAGCAGCTATTTGAGGACCCCTGGGGGGGTGGGATAGGGCTTTGATGGATCCCATCCCCCTTCCCCTGGGAGGGACCCCACTGGAATTACCTGAACACAGGGGTGCAGCCCCCTAGGACGTGTTGTCATTTGGGAAAGTGGGAGGGGAGAGGGAGTAAATGTTAACGTGATTAACATCTATTTTGGAGGGGGAAAAAAATCTGTGTCTTAGTGGGCATTGTCTGGGCATTGTTCTGGATCATGGGGGAGGGGCACCTGACTCACACCTGTCTTCTCTCCCCACAGGCCCTTCCAGATCAGGGCGGGTTGTGAGTTGGGGGCCACTTCATCCCAACCCCTTGTGCTCCACCAGGACAAAACTTGAGTCCCCCCCCATCTCTTTCCCCTTCCCCTTCCCTTCCTGTCTTCTCATAGCCCTTCCTGCAGTCCCCAGCGGGAGCCCCCTCTCCCCCACGGGAGGGGGTACCCCTTCTTTTCCTAGAGGATCCCTAGGGTCCCCTTCCTGCTGGGGTGGAGGAAATATGCTAGCAGTTGAGTAGAGGCCTTGCCTCTCCGTCTTTTTGATCCTAAGCCTTGTCCAGTAGATTTCCTGTGTCTTCCAGAACATTCCATCTTGAGTCAGGCCACACTCACCTCCAGCCATGATCTTCTTTCTCTCATAAACACCGCTTCTCCCAACTTTCCTGGGGCTCCCATTTGCTCCCCCCCTCCCCTCCGCCCCGCATCCCCCTTGGGGGAGAGGAGAGGCCCCGTTCAACCCTGCCTGGCCCCCCCTCCCCACCTGTCCATCACTTCCCTCCCCCCCCCCAGCCATGTCACCTTGAGGCGAGGGGTGGGTGGGTGAGTGTGTGTGTGGGGGTGTGGGCGTGGGGGGGGGCCCGGGGTCCCCCCCCCTCCCATGGCCCCGGCGGCCCCGCGATGGGCGGCAACCGCACCGGGGAGGGCTGCCGCGTGGACGCGCGCGTGGACCACCTGCTGCCGCCGTCGCTGTACGCGCTGGTGATCGGCGTGGGGCTCCCCACCAACTGCCTGGCGCTGTGGGCGGCGGCGCAGCAGGTGCGGCAGCGCAACGAGCTGGGCGTGTACCTGCTCAACCTGAGCGTGGCCGACCTGCTGTACATCGGCTCGCTGCCGCTGTGGGCCGACTACTTCCTGCACCACGACAACTGGATCCACGGGCCCGGCTCGTGCAAGCTCTTTGGCTTCGTCTTCTACACCAACATCTACATCAGCATGGCGTTCCTGTGCTGCATCTCCGTGGACCGCTACCTGGCCGTGGCGCACCCGCTGCGCTTCGCGCGCCTGCGCCGCGTCAAGACCGCCGTGGCCGTCAGCTCCGTGGTCTGGGCCACCGAGCTGGGCGCCAACTCCGCGCCGCTCTTCCACGACGAGCTCTTCCGCGACCGCTACAACCACACCTTCTGCTTCGAGAAGTTCCCCATGGAGGCCTGGGTGGCCTGGATGAACCTCTACCGCGTGTTCGTGGGCTTCCTGGCGCCCTGGGCGCTCATGCTGCTGTGCTACCGCGGCATCCTGCGCGCCGTGCGGGCCAGCGTGTCCACCGAGCGCCGCGAGAAGGCGCGCATCCGCCGCCTGGCGCTCGGCCTGCTGGCCATCGCGCTGCTCTGCTTCGCGCCCTACCACGCGCTGCTGCTGTCCCGCAGCGCCGCGCGCCTCGGCCGCCCCGGCGACTGCCGCCTGGAGGAGCGCGTCTTCGCCGCCTACCACGGCTCGCTCGCCGTCACCAGCCTCAACTGCGTGGCCGACCCCATCCTCTACTGCCTGGTGCACGACGGCGCCCGCGGGGACGTCGCCCGGGCCCTGCACCACCTGCTGCGCCTCCTGGCCGGCCACCCGCCCCGGGAGGTGACCGCCGCCGCCACCGCCCTGGAGGCGCTGCCGCTGCCGCCGCCGCCGCCGCCGCCGCCGCCGCCGGCCGTCTGCAAAGGCGCCAAGGCCGCGGGGGGCCTGGAAACCCCCGACGCCGCGGGGGAGCAGGTACAGGCCTGGGCGCTGCTGCCGCCCACCCAGTGACCCTCCCTGGCCCGGTGGGCGTATGCAAATGAGCATGCAAATGCGCGCGGAAGCCACCGCTGTACATATTCATGAGCAGGGGCCGGGCTCGTGAATATTCATGAGGCACCTATGGCTCCTGGGCCTGTCAGCCTAGCTACTACCGGAGACTGAGCGCTGAGGATGGAGTTTCAAAGGCAGAGCCCGGCAGGAGAGTCCCTGAGACTTCTTTCTTTTTTTTATCTCCAGTTAATCAGCACAAAGCCGGAAAAGGGAAAAGTGGCTCAAGTGGTAGAGTGTCAGCCTTGAGTGAAAAAAAACTTAAGGGGGAGCACCCAGGTAGGCCCTGAGTTCAAGCCCTACCACCAGCATGCAAGAAAAAGAACAGAAGGGAAAAAGAGCAAACGGAGGGACAGCGCCCAGGGCTCAGGCCTCAGGCCCAGCACCAAGAAAATAAAATATAAAATACCAGAAAAGACAGGACCGAGCCTGTTGTGTTGCTGCTCAACCATCCTCTTCCACCCATAATCCCCTGAAAAACTCACCTTCTCTTTTTCTTTTTCTTTTTTCAACAGTACTGGGCTTTGAGGTCAGGTGCCTGCACAGGTCCCGCTGCTGCAAGTTCTCTACTGCAGAAGCTCCTCCCACCCTCTAGTTCTTTTTAGATTTGTCATTTTTCCAATAGGGTGTTTTGTGCCTGGCTGGTTTGGATCATGATCCTCCTGTTAACCATTCCATTCTTGTAGCTGGGGTGGGAAGCTTTACTCACTGTGCTCAGCCTTTTATTTGTTGAGATGGGGTCTTTTAAAATTTTTTGCCCAGACCGGCCTTCAACTATGATTCTTCTGGGGCTGGGAAGGTGGCTCAGTGGTAGAGCGCTTGCCTTGCATGCATAAGGCCCTCAGTTCAATTCCTCAACACCACATAAGCAAAAAGAAAAAAGCCAAAGTGGCACTGTGGCTCAAGTGGTAGAGCGCTAGCCTTGAGCTGAAGAGCTGAGGGACAGCGCCCAGGCCCAGAGTTCAGGCCCCACGACTGGACCCCCCCAAAAAAAACTATGATCCTTCCAATGGACACTTTCTGAATAGCCAGGATTACAGGTATGAGTAGCCCAGGCCATCCAATTTGCTTTTTTTTTTTTTTGTCATGGGGCTTGAACTATATAGGCCTACCCACTCTTCCTGAGCTTCTTTGGCTCAAAACTAGCACTCTACCACTTAAGCCACAGCACCACTTCCAGCTTTTTCTGAGTAGAGTCTGATGGACTTTCCTGCCCGGGCTGGCTTTGAACTGTGATCCTCAGGTCTCAGCCTCCTGGGTAGCTAGGATGGCAGGCGTGAGCCATGGGTGCCCAGCTTTTTGTTTTCTTTTGAGGTTCCAGGATGGCTTGGAACTCCTGATCTTCCAGCCTCTTCCTCTTGAGTGTGGGGATGACAAGAGTGCACCACTGCATCTGGCTCTCACAATTGACTTAAACTATTGTCCTCCTGGTCTGGCAGTGTTAGCAGACACAGTGAGCCCTCATGAGCCCCTAGATCCTGCTGCCATTTGGGGACCATAGCTCCTGCACTAGGGGCTGAGGAAATGAGCCAAATGTTCTTCTAAAAGGTAAAAATCAAGGGCTGGAGGCATGACTCAAGTGTTTGCCTAGCAAGCTCAGGGCCCAGTACTGTCCCCTGCTCCCCCCGCAAAAAAAGCACTAGAAAGGAAGGAAACTGAGGCAGTTAAGGGGGACAGAGGGCAACCTGGAGCCTGATGGAGACAAAGGGGACAGGGGAGGGACCACCGAGGTGGTTTAGGAGCCAAGACCCAAAGGTGGCAGGAGGCCAGGCAGTCAGCTCTGTGGCTAAGCATTCGGGCAGAGCAGAGGACACAAGTGCAAAGGCCCTGGGGTCAGAGAGTATGTGTGTGAATTGTGTGGGAGTGGATTACAGGGAGAATCGGAAGGGCGAAGATGGGAGATGGGACTGGAAGGAGGGGCCGTACAGAGTCACACAAATCTGCCTGATGACCTGGCCTGGGGGGATGGGTTTAGTGGAGGACAGATGGACAGATGGATGGATGGGAGGTACTGGTGGATGCCAGGGGCTGGTGGGCTGGCTGCAGGTGTTGGGGCTGGATGGGTGTGAGGGGTTGTGGACAGAGCAGGGAGCAGGCCAGGGCCCGGGCCCGTGGCACTGTGCGATGGCATTCTGGGAAAAGGAGATGGGGGGAGGGAGGGGCAGAGAAGGCTTCTGGGAATGAACCAAGAGCTCAGGCATCAGTAGATGACGCAGTGCCAAGGTCACCCCGGCCCCCCCTCCCCCCCATCTGTCTATTCCCACGCGCCCCAAGGGGGCTGGGGAAGCCTGCCCTGCTGGAGGGACCCCTCCCTCCCTGGCCTCGGGTCAGCAGAAACTGCCCCTGTCCAATCACCGGGAAGGACAGCGGAAGGGAGCACTAAGGGTTGTGTTCTGTTTTTTTTTTTCCCCACCCAATACTGGGGCTGGAACCCAAGGTCTCCCATGTGCCAGGCAGGCGATCGACCACCTGAGCCATGCCCCCGGCTCTTGTGTTTGTATTTTTTGTTGTTGTTGGTCCTGGGACTTGAACTCTGGGCCTGGGCGCTGTCCCTCAGCTCTTCAGCTCAAGGCTAGTGCTCTACCACTTGAGCCACAGCACCATTTTCAGCTTTTTCTACTTAGGTGGTGCTGAGGAATCGAACCCAGGGCCTCGTGCATGCGTGGCAAGCGCTCTACCACTGAGCCACCTTCCCAGCATGGGCATCCATCCTCCTGCTTCTGCCTCCCCAGTGCCGGGATTACAGGAGGGCACTGCCATGCCCTTACCAAACACCTGGATTCACATGCATTGGCCCTTTCCCAAGATCTCACAGGTGTATAAACAAGCCGCTGAGACAGGAAGATGGATCACACACACACACACACACACACACACACACACACACACACACACACATATTCTCAGAAGAGATTCCTGGAACACTTGTAAGACAAAGGAAGCAGTGGGAAGAGGGGCATGGAAAAGTGCACTTAATGACTAACATTTATGGCATGGTGGGGGGAGGGAGGAGAGGGTTCTGGGAAGTCCTACCACTTGTCCACCCCAGAAAACTGCTTCTGAACAGACACCGCCCCCCTCCCGCCCCCAAGCCCCCTGCTATCACAGGGCAGCCTGGCCACTGCGCCTTTCCATCAGATGCTCATTCCCCAACCAGTCAAGAAACATTTATTGGTGGCTAGGTGCAGTAACCCATGCCTGAAACCCCAGCTACTCAAGAGGCTGAGACGGGAGGATGGAAGTTCCAGCCCAAGGGGGAAAACAAACAAGACAAATTAAAGACCTCATCTCAATCCATAAACTGGGCATGGTGGTGCTCCGCATGGGTCATCCCAGATTCTCAAGAGTCTGAGGCAGGAGGATCTTGAAGTTCAAGATCAAGCCAGAGAAAGGTAGGGAGCTCCTGAAAAACAAACAGGTGAATGAAAGGGCTGAGGATAGGGCTCAAGCGTTAGAGTGTTTGCTGACCATGCACAAGGCCCTCCGTTCAAACCCCAATAATGAAAGAAAGGAAAAAAGAAACCCAAAAACCTGAGCAGCTACTGTGCTGTGAGGCTGCCGGCGGCAGTCCTGGGGTTCCGCCTCAGCTCTATCTTGCTTCTTTCTGGAACTCTGGGCAAACTCTTTCTTCCCTCCAGCCTCAGTTGGCAAATGAAGACAGGACTGGTCCCAAGACCCAGGCTCTCCCATGTCTCATTCAGAAGGGATTCTGGGAAGAGTCATTCCTATGGCCATAATTCAGACAAGTGTGGGTACACACACATACACACACACACACACCCCACATGTGTAGATCTCCCTGTGTAGCCCAAGCTGGCCAGGAACTTCCAATCCTCCTGCCTCTGTATCCCCAATGCTGGGACTACAGATGTGCAGCACCATGCCCAGCTACCCTCATTACAGGGAGGACTTCTGACATCTCACAGGTCTCTTAGTGCTTACTGAAGGGCACTGGGGGAATCAGAGTAGATACCTGGGGACAGTGGAGGAGAGCCCTGGAGTCCTTCTCCCACCTCCTCTGCCCAGCTGTCCATCTGCCTCTCCTTCTAACTACCCACCGCACACCCCACCAAGCAGGAATTTCAGCCCAGGCCTGCCCTTGTTTATAAGATTTTGCTCCCCGCTGGGTAAGGGACAACAGCCCAGGACTTGTCCTTCCAGAGCCAGCTCCCTGGGGACCCTCACCCTCTAGAGGAGGAAGTGGGGTTGCCTGAGGACGCCTATCAGCCCAGGGGCAGGGCCATCAATCTCTGCAGGCCCAGAGGACATGTGCCACACCCCGCAGGCACACACAAGTGTGTGTGTGTGGGTGTAGCTCTTGGCTTCCATCCCAGAGCAACACACACATGCACGCACGCACAAACACACACATTTAAAGAAAAAAACAAAAAACAGCCTGGCATGGGTGGCTCACGCCTGTCATCCTAGCTACTCAGGAGGCTGAGATCTGAGGATCACGGTTCAAAGCCAGCCTGGGCAGGAAAGTCCGTGAGACTCTTTATCTCCAATAAATCATCAAAAAACCAGAAGTGGCGCTGTGGCTCAAGTGGTCGAGTGCTAGCCTTGAGCTCAAGAGCTGAGGGACAGTGCCCAGGCCCAGAGTTCAAGCCCCACGACCGGCAAAAAAAAAAGTCAGGCTGGCTTTGAACCACGATCCTCAGATCTCAGTCTCCTGAACAGCTAGGATGACAGGTGGGAGCCACTGGGCCCGGCTATACATACCTTTTTGGGCAATGTCACCCTTCCCAGTTTTTTCCTCCCATTCCTGTAAGGTTGTATGTGGCTGGGTCAGCAGGAACTTTTGTTTTCCGAGTTTGAGCAGTTTCAGGCTAGTGCCCCAAAGGATGATTGGGAAGGTGGTATATAAGGAAGTGGCTTTTCTCAGCTGCCTCTGTCCTCCAGCGGCCTGTCAATTCCCACCCACAAGTTGTATAGTTTATTTTTTTTTAAAGGTTTTAAAAGTCATATTTTCACATAAAGCCAACAACCCTGTAAGGCTAGAAACGGGAATACTAGAAACAGGAATACTGATGCTCTGAGAGGTTGAGTCACTGGCCCGGGGTCACACAGCGCGTAAACGGGGAGGGGGAGTTGGGATTCCAAGATCCGGGTGACACACGGCCCATTTCCTCCCTCATCCCCGGGAGAGCTCTAAATTTTGGAAGATGGATTATTGGGGACTCATTAAACCTAATTAGGACTATCAAGAAACCTCCTTTGGGCGGGGAAACCGACTCAGCGCTTGACGTCACACAGCGGCGCGGTGACGTCAGCCGAGGCGGGAATGGGAATCCATTACCCGCTCCCGTGAGCGAGCGGCCGTTTAACGGCACCGCCCACTGATCGCCTCACTTCCGCCGTATATTTGCATATTTAGCGCACGGACGCAGGGACGTCGGCGTCGACGCGGTGACGTCAGGGGGCGCCCCTGCAGTTACCCTTTCCCTCCTGGAGCGTACGTACGCACGCATGGACGTGGGCACGCACGGCCCTCCCGCGGGCGGGGGAAGAGTGGAGCGGTCGGAGCCGCCCCGCCCCGCCGGCTAGGTTGCGCGTGCTCCGTGCGACCGCCAAGATGGTGGTGGGCGCGTTCCCGATGGCGAAGCTGCTCTACTTGGGCATCCGGCAGGTCAGTAAGCCGCTTGCCAACCGAATTAAGGCGGCCGCTCGCCGCAGCGAGTTCTTCAAGACCTACATCTGCCTTCCGCCGGCTCAGCGTGAGTGACCCCACGTCCCTCCAACCTTCCCATTCTCCAACCCGTTTCAGGTGGTTACTTAGGGGATGGACTGCTACCTGTGACCAATCACAGCCTGAACCGGCAAAGTCCTGCGGCCAATAAGGGAGGGCCTCTGGGAGAAAGGCGTCTGTGTAACCCAATAGTGAAGGCGGGCTTGGGGCAAGGGGCGGGACAAGGCGTTAGCACGCGCGTTGTAAACGCCAGCCAATAGAAGAAGAGAGTTTGTGGAGACTGACGTCTAGACGAGCCAATAGTTGGGGAAACCGGCTCAATTTGGGCGGGCCTTTCCAGAACAGAAAGGAGCCATAGGCGGGACTGGGGGGGGGGGGGGGACCCAACTGGGGTGCTTTGCCGAGCCATCCTTGGGCGGTTTTGCTCCCCCAAAGCCACCCGTTCTTCAATTTCCCGCTTGTCATGGGATGTGCTTTATGTCATGCACTTAGAATACACGAGTGCCCTAGTTTTACGCCAGGCGTGAGTTGAGGGTGAAGTTTGAGGTCTGGGGGCGTGTCTTCAAAAATCTGGCAAGTTTATCCGTGTATTTGTTAATAAGTTCAGGCGCAGTGCATTCATTCAGTAGACCGCCTAGACAGGCCTTTCGGCGGACACCTGGCAGATACATATTCTAGATCAATCAGCCACATCCCAGCGTGCACTGGAGCTCAGAGGAGCCCGCGGGCCCCAGGCATGGGGACCCTCCCCCCCCAGAAGGGTCTGTCTGAACCGAGATCTGATGGGTATAGCCAACGCCCAAACGATGAGCTACTGTCAAAAGATGATCCGCGTGCTCTGGGAATAAGAGATAAGTGAATATAACTTCTGGGGGTAGCAAGCCGCCACATCCACCCACCCATTACTTCTGTCAGCTGTTCACTGGTGGACAGTGCTGTCAGGAAGGACTTTCAGGCAGAGGAGATGTAGGAGTGGGACCTGAAGGGTATCACCCCTCCCTCCCCCCCCAGACAACAGGGACAGTGTTGAGGCAGAGGAAGGCGCATGTGCAAATGCCAAGACATCTTTGTCCTTTGGTTTTTGTCTTTCTGCCTGGGCCTGAAATCCAGAATAGGATAGTGTTGGGGTTTGTGAGTCACAGAATGTGTTTCATATCAGTTGTCATCATCTTCTGGTGTTGGCCAGGTTAACGAGGTGACTTCCTGACGTTTATAAAAGGAATGACTGAGGTCTTGGGAGTGAGAGAAGGATTGCTGCCCTCACACGGGTGGACTGTGCCAGAGGTGGGGCTTGAACTCTAGACTCCAGACTTGATTGCTTCCTGCTTCTACCTTTCCCCCAAATATTGTGACTTGTCTTCCTGTTATGGTTTGTGAAAGCTGGGCACCAGTGGTCATGACTGTAATCCTAACTACTCAGGAGGCTGAGATCTGAGGATCATGGATCAAAGCCAGTCAGGGCAGGAAAGTCCACGAGACTCTCATCTCCAGTTAATCACCAAAAAAGCCAGAAGTGAAGCTGTGGTTGAGTGCCAGCCTTGAGTAAGAAAGCTAAGGGATAGTGTCCAGGCCTTGCGTTGAAGTTCTAGTACCAGCACCCTCCTCCCCCCAAAAAGATAGCTTGTGCTGGGCGCCACTGGCTCACGCCTGTAATCCTAGCTACTCAGGAGGCTGAGATCTGAGGATCAGTTCAAAGCCAGCCCCAGTAGGAAAGTCTGTGAGACTCATCAATTAGCCACCAGAAAACGAGAAGTAGAGCTGTGGCTCAAGTAGTAGAACACTCACCTTGGGCTGAAGAGCTCAGGGACAGTGCCCAGGCCCAGAGTTCAAGCCCCACGACCTGGAGGGCTGTGGGGAAGATGGCGTGTGGAGTCATTCTGACAGGGTTTTTCAGGCTAGTGACTTTGAGCGGAGCCTTTAGTCCTTCTCAGCCTCAGTGTCCTCTTCTGTGTAGTGGGTATGACATCATTAGGCACTGTCCACTGGGCATTTCATAACAAGGGTTTTATTTCCCAGTCCTTATGACACTGAGCCTTTATAAATACCTGTTTTATGCATATATTCTGTGCTTTTTTGGGGAGTAGGTGCTGGGGATGGAATGAAGCCATTGATTTGCCCATAGTAGGGCCATGCTTTACCCTTGAGCCACACCCCATCTAGTCCTCAGGAGGCTCACCTGCATGTTGGGACCCTGGGTTGGTTCCCTCCTTCCTCTTCAGTCAGTCTCTCTAGCAGGGATGCTGATGTCCCCTTCCTGCTCTCTCCCCCCCCCCCCCCCCCCAGCCAAGTCTGGTGCTGACAATCTGAGCAGCTTCTGACACAGACCCTGACGCTGGCCACTGAAGACTGCCTAGTAGAGTAGACTCTTGGGTTTAGACCTGGGCACCTCCACTTCCTACTTGTGTGATCATGTCCAGTAGCTTACTGTCCCTCAAGCTCCTTTTCTACATTGACCAGATGCGGGTAGGCACAGAATGAGGCTGTGGGTATGAAGGACCTGGCTCAGAGCACAGATTCTTAGTTCTGGTTCTTAGTCCTGGCTAGGAAGATACCACAGAGCCTCTTCTCCCATGCCATCGCTGCTGGAGGCCAAGACTGCTTCCTCCTCTAGTTCCCACCCTCCAGTTCCCGCTGTGCTGTTGCTGGCTGTGTCCCTGCACAAAACAGAGAAAGAGAGGCCAAACATCTAGTTAAGCTCAGCCCCACGAGGATGGGGCATGTAGCCCATGGGGGGCGGGGCAGAGGGGTAAGTGGCTTTGGGGTCCAGAGTGGACCGGTGTTTGAAAATCACTTCCTGGGAATCTATTTATAATGTCCAGAGTGGCACGTCGGTTGTGGGGTGTGACAGCCAGGCTGTTGCTGGTGATTTCAGACATCTGTATTCTCAAGATGTTCAGGGCGGTCTCTTCCCATGCCTGTGTGCATTCATAGTCATTTCCATCATCTACCACAGGGCTGTATTGTAACCACAGACTCAGGAATGAAAGGGAATGGGGCTGGGAAGGTGCCTTAGCGGTGCTTGCCTAGCATGCATGAGGCCCTGGGTTCGATTCCTCAGTACCACATACACAGAAAAAGCCGGACATGGTGCTGTAGCTCAAGTGGTAGAGCACTAGCCTTGAGCACTGAGAGGCTCAAGGACAGTGCCCAGGCCCTGAGTTCAAGCTCCAGGACTGGCAAAAAGAAAGAAAGAAAGAAAAAAATGAAAAGGAATGTTAACAATAATTTTAAAACTACAGATGGGTGTTTTTCATGCTTCTTTGCTCATAGGACAAATATTTTCCCATATTTGCATTAATGGTCTTCCCACCCACTGGGCATTCTGCATAGGCCTTAGTTGGGGTTTGGCCTTGAGTTTTTTTTTTTTGGGTCTGGTCGTGAGGCCTGAACTCTGGGCCTGGGCGCTGTCCCTCAGCTCTTCAGCTCAAGGCTAGTGCTCTACCAGTTGAGCCACAGTGCCACTTCCAGCTTTTTTTTTTTTTTTCTGCTTATGTGGTGCTGAGGAATCGAACCCAGGGCCTCATGCATGCAAGGCAAGCACTCTACCACTGAGCCACCTTCCCAGCCCTTGGCCTTGAGTTTCTAAGTTATTTCTGTGGTCTGGTGACCCAAATCCCAGCTACTCACGCTGCTGAGGCAAGAGGATCTCCAGTGGAAGGCCCAGCTCTGCTAGAAGTGCTGTGACAAAAAAGCACTGAGGCATGGCTCTCTCTAGCCTCTTCGCTAGCACGTGCAAGACCTGGGGTTCCATCCTTGGCATGGGGGAGAACAGAAGCCCTCCTTCTTCATGTGAAGGTAACTTAGCTTGCAATCTGGGAATGTCTGTGAAGATGTGCCCTGGCTGAAGATACCCAGAGTGGCCAGGAGAGGGCGCCCGGCACCCTGCTAGTGGAGCCCCCAGAGGCTCTGTGTTCCTTCCCACCCCTATTCAGTGAAAACCAGCCAGCAAATCCTAATCAGACACGAAGGCAGACCCATGGCCGGGGGTCCCACCAAGGGCTGGTGGGGTTAGTTTGGTGACTGGCTCACAGGTGGCATTCAGACAGGTATCATGATCTAAACAGGGTGTTGGAGCGCTAAGCATGCTTTGATACTTGAGGGGGCAAGAAGGTGGTGCTTGGGGGGGGACACAGGTGAGAGACTCTTCTCAAGGAGAAAATTCTTTCAAGAAGCCCCCCCCCCATCCGCCCCTCACTGCCCACGACCAGATCTTGAGTCCCAGGGTGCCCTGCAGTGGCAGGGGAGGTCAGCTTGGTGAGATGGTTTTGATAAGCTGACAGGAAGCAGTGCAGTGTGGTACAGGCCCAGGCCTGACATTTGTTGGTTGGCTTGTGAGTACCTGGGTTTGAATTTGGGGCCTTGTACTTACCCAGTTTGCTTGCATATCTGGCTTTCTACCACTTGAGCCACGCCTTCAGCCCAGCCTTTTGCTAGGAGGGTTAGTATAACAGCCAGTGAAACTCAAGTTTCACAGCTTTCTGTTGCTCTCTTTGAGGGTCTAGCAAAGCAACCCCAGACATGCCTCCTCCCAGCCATTCCCACAATTCTAGAGCTGATTCTTAGAGGCTCAGCCTGGTTCACACCCCCAACCCTCAATCACTGTGGCCCAGAGAATGCACTGCTCTAATTGGCCAGGCCAAGGGGCGGGGCTAACCCCTCCTGGACCCTTTGGACCAGGCACAGGGAGACAAGATTCTCAGATGCTTGGCAGGCAGCGTCTCACTAGAGACTGGCAGCTGCCACTCTGCTGGCTCTGGGGTCATACAATCCAGTTATCATCCTTAGGGTGACGTGGGTTTTCTTTGTTGTGTTTTGGTTGTTGTTGTTTTGAGACAGAGCCTAAGTATGTAGCCAGACTGGCCCTGAGCTCATAATCCTCCTGTTTCAGCTTTTAAAAAAATTTTTTTTCTGTCAGTTATGGGGCTTGAACTCATGGCCTGGGTGCTGTCCCTGAGCTTTTCTGCTCAAGACTAGCACTCTACCACTTTGAGCCACAGCTCCACTTCTGGTTTTCTGGTGGTTCATTGGAAATAAGTCTCATGGACTTTCCTGCCCAGGCTGGCTTTGAATCACGATCCTCAGATCTCAGCCTCCTGAGTAGCTAGGATGACATGCATAAGCCAGCAGGGCCTGTCCTGTTTCAGCCTCTTGAGTGCCAGGACTACAGGTATGCTCTACTGTGTCCAACTTTAGGGTGAGCTTTAAACTGAATGGAATATAATATATCCAGGGAAGGCAGCCAGGGCAGGGACTGGCTGGAAGCTGTGTTTTCTAGGGTGATAACTTATTAACTGATAATTATACTTTTCATCTGATATGTTGTCATTATCTTTACAAATGATCTTTTGTTAAGGAGTTTACTACTTTCTGTCTGGCTACCTGAGGGAGGAAGCCTATTAGAGAGAGAAGCAGTTCCCCAAATAGTGCTGGGTGAGAAGTCTACCTGGTGACTCAAGCCTGTAATTGCAACTACTTGGGAAGCAGAGACGGTCGGGGTATTGCAGTTCAAGGCCGGGCTGAGCAGAAACATTCTTGACTGCGCCTCGGCCAGTTGGTTGGGTGTAGTGACAGGCACCTGTCTTCCCGGCTGCTGGGAGGCTCAATGGCTGGGCAGAGTGGTGGACTCCTGTCGTCTCCGGCGATACCAGGGAGGACAAGCAGGTGGGTGGTAGTCCGGACCCGTGCGCTGTCTCTGAGTCTTTTATAGTCCAGGCTGTCGCCCTCCCACTGGAGCGACAGCTTCACTTCAGGCTTTTGGCTGGATAACTGGAGAGAAGAGTCTCACGAGTTTTCCTGCCCGGGGCTGGCTTTGAACCGCCATCCCCAGATTTCAGCCCGCCGAGCGGCTGGGACGGCAGGCGTGAGCCGCGGTGCCCTGCCCTGCCGCAGCCCCCCGCCCAGCGCGCTGACCCCTGTCTCCCCCCCCCCCCCCCCCCCGCAGTGTACCACTGGGTGGAGATGCGGACCAAGATGCGCATCATGGGCTTCCGCGGCACGGCCATCAAACCGCTGAACGAGGAGGCGGCGGCCGAGCTGGGCGCCGAGCTGCTGGGCGAGGCCACCATCTTCGTGGTGGGCGGCGGCTGCCTGGTGCTGGAGTACTGGCGCCAGCAGACGCAGCAGCACCGCAAGGAGGAGGAGCGGCTGGCGGCCTGGGAGGCGCTGCGGGTGGAGGTGGGCCGCCTGGGGCTGGCGCTGGAGACGCTGCAGGCGCAGGCGCGGGAGGCGGCGCCGCGGGCCGCGCTGGACGAGCTGCGGGCCGAGCTACGGGAGGTGCAAGCCCACCTCGGCCACGCCCACCAAGACCGCGCCCTCCCCGCCGCCCCACCCCACACCGGGACGGAGAAGTAGGAGCCAGACTTGGGTGTGGCCGGTGAGCCCCAGGGCCACTCTCTTCCTCCACATCCCTGGCTGCGGATCCCATCAGAATCCACTGGATGAGGATGCACCTGAGCCTTCGAACATCCCACGATCCCTACGGACCGGGACTGCCTCCCCTGGGACCATCGCCGCCGGTGGAGTCATCCTGCGCTCATGCCCTTGAGCTGAGGCCCACAGTGTTCATCCCCCCCCCCCCCCAGTTCAGTCCCCAACCCAGCCCCCAGGTGGTCCTGGGAAAGCAGAAGGGAGCCAGGGCTTGAGTTAGTCACCTGGCTGCCACTCCCAGGACCCTTACTTCCCAGATCTTCTGAGACAGAGGAAAAAGGATGGATTCAAGTCATCCTGTCTCCCCCTTGACTGGGTCGCGGTTCCTTCCCCTGGGACCTGAGTGGAATGGCCCACCAGCGCCCGCTCCTCCGTTAGTCGGTGGCATAGCTGTGTAGTAGCAGCCTCCCTCCACAGTGGAGAATTTGATTCTGTAGCTGGGGTCAGTGCAGATGTGCGGCAGCCTCAGCTGTTTGTTCCGGGCCTTGTGATCCGTAAGCACATCCTTTCCTGGCCTGCCCAAGGTCGTCTTCAGTGGTACTTCTTAGGGGCCTGCTTGTCGGTGGGTTCCACCGCCACACCCCTGTCTCCTGTGGACGCCCCTCTGTCTGCATCTGTGCGGGCTGGCCCGGGCCCCAGGTGTGCTCACCTCCCATGTTCCTTCTTACCCCAAAGAAAGTGACAGCCCAGCACTGGCCTGGGTTTTCGGCTCCGGTTTAGGTGTGGTCAGGGGCCATACTCCCTTCTCCAGCTTTGCTGGTGCCGGTCCTTCTGGCTCTACCTCGGAATCCACGTGGCCTTCTCTTCTGTCTCTTGTGAGAACACTGTCTCCGAAGGTAGGGTCCACCAGAGAGGCTCATAGCTGTGATCTTACCTTATTCAGGAGGCTGAGATCTGAGAATTAGCATTTGAAGCCAGCCTGAGCAGAAAGGTCTGTGAGACTCTTTATCTCCCAACTAACCTCCAAAAAGCTGGACATGAGCTGTGGCTCCTTGTAGAGCACCAGCCTTGAGAAAAAAAAGCCAAGAGATCATACCCTGAGTTCAAGCCCCAGCCCCAGTGGGCACGCATGTACGTGCACGCGCGCACACACATACACACAGATCCTTAATTATAAGTGCATACTTTTTTTTTAGTGTAGTGTTTTGTTTTTTTATTGTAAAAATACTGTACAGAGGGGTTACAATTACATGGGCAAGTTAATGAGTACATTATCAAACATTTTTGCTTCCTACTTTGTTTCCCTTTCCCATCCCTTCCCATCTCCCCCCCCCCCCAACTTTTTCTAAATAGAGACACATGAGCAGGTTCCAGGGGTTTAGGATGAGGACATATCTTTAGGGTTCCACCATTCCGTCCATTACATTTCCCCCACCCGGAAGACTCCTGCCAACCTCACAGTCATTCAGCCTCGCCCCTGGGCCCAGCACCCTATTTCCCTGGCTTCACCACTGAAGGTGGGCGACCCAGCAGTGTGCAGTCTGTGTGGCTGGTTCACTGGGTTGGGCATAGCTCACATGGTAGAGTGCCTGCCTAGCGAGTGTAAAGCCTTGAGTTCAAATACCAGCATTACCAAAAAAGCAAAACAGCCCAAGAGTGAGGAAGGCATGTGAAGGACACATCTGGGGACCTGAACGCGGGTCCAGAGCACATGGAAACCCAGAGCAGAGCCAGGAAAGCTGGTGGGAAGGACAGAGAGGTATCCTGGGAGTTCTTTCCCACGTTGGGAAACAGTCCCAGGGGGATCACCTCAGTCCAAGAGGGACCCAAGGCCCAGGGAGTGAGGTAGATGAGCCAGGAAAATAGGGCGTGTCTCAGCTAGAGACCCAGATGCATGGGAAATGGGGAGCAGCACAAAGATCCCCACATTCAATCAACAAGGTCCAAATTTCAGGGAGCCACAGATGCAGGCAGAGGGGCAGTGCTCCTCTGGGAGCAGGGACGCTGCTGTGGAGGGAGGAGCTTCGGAACTTGGCATGGCCTAGCAGGATAAAAGGAGGAGCTTAAGGGGAGACTCCATGCCCATACCCATTGTAACCCACATTGGGGGCCCCCCCGTGGTGCCGGGCTCAGCCCATCAGTGCAAGGTCACAATGAAAGCAGGTCAGATGCCTGCTCCACACTGTTCTAAGAGCCCTGTAACCCCCCCCCCCCCCCACACACACACCATCATCGCCTCCAGGAAACAGGCACAGAGAGGCAAAGTCACTTGCTTAGCTTACCCAGGCAGGGAAGAGCAGAGGTGACATGTGGGCCTGAGACCCAGCTCCCGGCCCTGGGAATGGTGGGGGACAACAGCCTTCAGAAGCAGCCACGTGCCGCACAGGTGGCCAGTCCTCACGGGTGTGGAGGTGGAAGCCTGTCCCAAAAACGCAAGGAGCCAGAGCATGTGCCTAGTTGCTCTGGTCTACCAGCTACCGTGTTGTGTGAGAGGTGTGAAATAAATCTGTGAACAAAGTTTCTTGTCCAAGTTGCTACCTTCTTTATTCCTGTCTTTAAAAAGTCCACCTTGGGCCGGGTGCTGGTGGCTCACGCCTGTAATCCTAGCTACTCAGGAGGCTGAGATCTGAGGATTGCGGTTCAAAGCCAGCCCGGGCAGGAAAGTCTGTGAGACTTTTATCTCCAATAAACTACTCAGAAAATCAGAAGTGGTGCTGTGGCTCAAGTGGTAGAGCACTCACCTTGAGCTGAAGAGCTGAGGGACAGTGCCCAGGCCCAGAGTTCAAGCCCCACGACCAAAAAAAAGGTCTACCTTAGATGCCTATCTATTCTCTCCATGGAGGAAGTCACACTGCATGGTCCAGTGTGTGCCCTACCCCCATTCAGCGTCTGGCTGGAAACTCAGCCAAGTGGGGGACAATTGCACACACAAACGCTTGTTCTCAGTGTCACCTGCCACACCTTATTCAGGTAGAAGGGGTAGGACCTCCCCTCCTCCTCCTGAATGATTCAGGAATGTTTATGCCAGCTCATACAAGTACAGCCAGTGTCCCAGCCTCCCCTTCTCTCCCTTCTCTCCCTCTCCCCCAGGCCCTGTTGAGCTGTGCTACTGTCACTGTCTGACATTCTAGGTCACGAACTAATCCCACATCCGGGTGCTAAGGGCATGGGATGGTTACTGGCAACCAGAAAGGAACGGAAGTTCCACATGGGCCCTGAAGGCAGCCGCAGAGAAAAAGAAAGGTTATATTCCCAGAACAACAAGAGGTTCCAGACCAGGCATGGTGATGAACGCCTATAATCCTAGCTCTTCAGGAGGCAAAGGCTAGACTAAAAGTTTGTCTCAAAAAATGTTCATTAAAGCTGAGAGTGCCTAGAACCAGGCATCAGTAGTTTATGCTTGTAATCCTAGCTACTCAGGAAGCTGAGATCTGAGGATCATGATTTGAAGCCAGACCAGGCAGGAAAGGCCATTAGACTCTTCAATTAACCACAAAAGAGTCAGAAGTGGAGCTGTGGCTCAAGTGGTAGAGCGCTAGCCTTGAGCAAAAAAGCTTAGGGAGGGACAGCACCTAGGCCCTAAATGCAAGCTATAGGACTGGCACAAAAGAAGAAGAGGAGGAGGAGGGGGAGGAGGAGGAGGAAGAAGAAGAAGAAAAAAGAGGAGGAGGAGGAAGTTCACCCCTATAATCCTAGCTACTCAGGAGATGGAAATCTGAGGAGGATGATTCCATACCAGCCCAGGCAGGAAAGTCCAAGGAGACTCCAATCTCCAATAAACAATTCAGAAAAAGCCTGGAGTAGCAATGTGGCTCAAGTGGTAGATCAAAAGAAGCTCAGGGACAGTGCCCATGCCCTGAGTTTAAGTCTCTGGATTGGAAAAAACAGAACAAAACATAATACTCGACTAGTATGTGCAAGGCCCTGAGTTCAATCCCCAGTACCACCAAAAAATCTGGCTTTTAGCATAGGACAGGGATTCACAATTTAAGGTCCGGGGCCGGTTGTTCACTGTCAATAAAGATTTATTGAAACAGTCATGTTCACTCATTTTTCCATATCTATGGAGGCCTTGTAGACCCGGAGTCAGAAACAGAGCAGAGAGGCGGTGAGGGGCTGACAAAGGCCAGCCCACCTGCTTCCGTTGTCACAATTCTGCAGGATTATAGCATGTCTCCAGCCCCCAGGGGACCTCTGAGGCCTGTGTCACAACCACACTGTGTGTTAGCCACTCCCCCGCCAATGTCCCCCTCCCTTGGGTCCTCTAGAGCCGCCAGCAGCCATGGCACACAACTCTGTCTCCATCCCAATAAAGAAGTCTAATTAACCCATTGTAAACCTTTTTATAAAAGCTCACTGGCACTCCCTTGAGAGTATTACAGGCATTACATAATTCATGCACCATGAGTCATAGTACAGGATCAGATGGTATGTGTCATGCAATGTGTAACATTAAGTTGTGCCTGGTGATGTGTGTGCATATCTCACTGGAATAAAGTTTCACTAGATAATTACTGAGGCGTACTATTTTCTGTTTTGCTGTGTTCCAATTCATGAAGAAAAATTATAACCCTGCACTGGTGGCTCATACCTGTAATCCCAGCTACTAAGGAGGCTGAGATCTGAGGATCACAGTTGAAAGCCAGCCCAGGAAGAAAAGTTCATGAGTCTTATCTCCAGTTAACGAGTAGAAAGCTAGATGGAGTTGTGGATCAAGTGGTAGGCCAGCCATATGTGGGCAAGTACATATATACACACACACAACATGTTATCCAAACCTACACACTGGACTCATTTACCTTGAGTGAAGCATGAGCTATGGAGGACTCTCAGAAAAGAGACAAGATCCCATTCAGTCTCATTCCTGTGTTGCATTTATTTTTTTGAGATAGGGTCTGGATATGTAGTCCAGACTGACCTGAAACTCCAGATCCTTCTGCCTCCACCTTATGAGTGCTGGGATTACAGAAGTGCACTACCACACCTGGCTGTTTTTTTTGAAGATGCTGATGTCTCTGTGTGTGGAATGTCTCCCGTGTGTGTGTGTGTGTGTGTCTCTGTGTGTGTGTGCACAGCAGCTTCTCTTCCCCAGGAGGGCAGCTTGCTTCATCCTGCTCTGCCATCCATGAGTCACACAAAAGAAAACTTACAGAGATTAAGAGAGAAAACAGCATATGTCTGCCAGTGACTCAGTCCTGAGACCTGCCAGTCCCAGCAGC